AAAAGAGTGTCCTGCTGCCCACACTCTCTACCCTGGAGTGCTCCCCCTCTACTCCCAGATGCATGTGGGGACTGGCCATTGTTATGGAAATAGGACTCTGCCTATGCTCAGATGCTCTCTAGAGTTGCTTCACAAGTTCTAGAGTCCAACCCCAGCACTGGAAATGGAACCTGTAGGTGGTACATAGGTTGAGGTAGTACATAGCTTTAGAATTCATAGAACTGCAGAACCGGAAGGTACCCAAAGGGTCATCTGGTCCAACTCCCTGCAACACCGGGATCACAATTCGGGAGAGACTGTTCCGGAAATGAAATCTCTACACGCCAAATGGATGAATTTTGCCTCCAGCACATATACCCATCAATGCACACGCATGAACACTAAGGCACCCACCATGCAGCACATACCCTGCCGCTGAGGCTGTCGAGGCATGGTTTGAACTGTTGATGGCACATTTTAGGGTGTCTTTCCCCCAAAGAACAAACACATTCCTGGTGCTTGAATCCATGGTGCACAGGCTATCTGCAGAATAAATGTGTATTTATTCATATAAATGTTGTTGTTCTTGTCGTTAAAATTTGTATACAGTGGTACCTCAGGTTACATACACTTCAGGTCACATACGCTTCAGGTTACAGACTCCGCTAACCCAGAAATATTACCTCAGGTTAAGAACTTTGCTTCAGGATGAGAACAGAAATCGTGCAGCAGCGGCGCAGGGGCAGCAGGAGGCCCCATTAGCTAAAGTGGTGCTTCAGGTTAAGAACAGTTTCAGGTTAAGAACGGACCTCCAGAACGAATTAAGTTCTTAACCCGAGGTACCACTGTACTGCCCTTCATTCGAAGATAACAGGGTGGTTCACAACATAAAAAGACTATATGGGAACAGAAAATAATAAAACGAAAACAAGCTAATAACCCCCCTCCCACAAACAGATTTAAAAGGCCATAGAATGCTAATCAGCCAAAGGCCTGAGACAGCAAAGAGGCCCCAACAATGCCCAACAGGGGAGGAGGTGACCCTAGTGATAGTGATATTTGATGAGAGGAGTAGGATGATACTACTACAACCAAGCTCCGCCCTATTCCAGCTAAGAAATGGTGGGGGAATGTCGCCACCTCAGCATCCCAGCTAGGGATTTCAAACCTGAGATCGAGGGACAGCCTTCAGCGATGGTGGGTACTGATGATGTCACAGAGTGGAGATGTCAATAAGCAAGACACGTTACACATTAACCAGTCTCTGAGAGCATGTCCTTCCAGAACAAAAACAAAACCCCACACATACCCCGCCACCTCCTGAGAGTCTATACAATAATTTACAGCCAGCCCTTGCCAGGCTGAAGCTCGCAAGCAGCACACGTAGTCTTCTTAATTTAAATACTATTACAAATAATAAGTCACCCTTGCCCACCTGGAGAGTCAAGCCCTCCATCTTTTACCGGGGAGCAGGCAGACCTGGAGACTTCAGGTCAGCACTAATTGTCTGGCAACCCTGGTTCTGGCTGACAAAATGTACCCTTTTTTCATCAGGAGGCTCAGGAAGGCTCAGTGGTGCTCAAGCAGGCGCTGTGGTCATTTAGCAAAATCAACCTCACCTAGGCCTGCGTTTGTGACTCTCAAGCTCTCTCCGACACACATAAACACACACTTCAAACGGAGCTGAGATTAGTTGGTGAACAAGCCCAGGATGGAAAAGGGGAGTTTCTCTCTCTCTCTCTCTGTCTCTCTCTCTCCTCCACTCTGAGCCCCCACCCCCCTCTGACATCTCTTTCCTTTGTGCTTCTTGGGCCTTGGCATGCCAGAGACTCCTGGGCTTCCTTTGGGGGTGTTGCAGAGAGGCAATTGCATGTCCCTTGTGGGAACATTACACCACCAAGCCTCCCCTATGGGCCCCATCTAGACAATAATAATTGCATATACCTTTCTGTTTGTGCAATGGGAGGGAGGGGGCACATACGCATGGGGGGAGAGAAACAAATCTTCTCCTTGTCTCCCCCCCTCCAGTGTGTGTGTGTGTGTGTGTGTGTGTGTTTGCACACGCGTATTTTTGTTCCTCAACACCTGTCTTTAGCACACCCACCCTCCTAAGCAGCTGGACCTGAAATGTCAGGGGGATCAGATTAATCCTACGGGGAGAGATGGGGGCAGGAAGGTTTAATCACTCCCTCTGCCATCACCGCTAGCTTGGCCGATTTGGAACAATGGGCCCTGCCTTCTCTACCTCTTCTCCAGCCATGGCTATGAAGCACACACACACCCTAGCTTCCCAGCCCCACCACACTGAACCCCTGCCCCATTATGTACCATATCCAAACAGTACAGCGCAAATGGATAAAATAAAGCTATTAAAAACCCCTCCACAATGACCAAACTTGTATCAGGGTAAATTAAGGCACAGTCCAACCCTTCCCATCCAGATGGCAGATATTTATCCTAGGTGTTTTCTTGTGTCTTCCTACCCCCCAGTAGAATTTGTATTGTGGTGTGCATTTCTTTCCCCTTGTGAGCGTAAATAAGCACCTCGCTGCTAAAGACAATCAGGTGCACGAAGGGTGGAAAACAAGTGTAGAGAGAGCGGGTGGCCCCAATTCAGGTGAAGTTTGCTGTGATGGTCCCACTGAAATCAAACAAGCCTAGTTATTTGTGATCGAAACAATGGGATGGATTGTGATATCGTAAACGGAATTTGTCATAATGCTTGAAGCAATGCCACCTAACAAGCTGGGGTTTGTGAATGGCCAAATCAGGATCTGAAACTGTAGTGTGAAACTGTTGCAAACCATGGTTGGGGGAATACAGTGGCTTGGCTTTATAACCACTACAACTAAGCATGGTTTGGCACATTGCTTCACCCTCAGATGCTGTTCTTTGGGACAGTACCTTGGGTTCTTCAGGGAAGTGCAGAAAGAAGGAAACCAGTTTGCCTGAACATCTAAAACACAAACCATGGTTTGGAGTCTATAGTTAGTGTAACTCATGGCTTGGTAGGAACAAATCTTGCTCATAACTAATTCTAACAAGGGTTGCAGGACAAGCATTTAGTCCGTTTTGAGCAGAGAAATGATATAGCCACCCTAGCAATCTTGTGAAGTAGAAGAAGAAGAAGAAGAAGAAGAAGAAGAGAAGAAGAGGAAGAAGAAGAAGTTGTTGTTTATACCCTGCCTTTTTCTCTGATAGGACTCAAGACAACTTACAGGTAAAAACAAGAACTACCAAAAACACAAAGGAGGAGGAGGAGGAGGAGGAGGAGGAGAATAAGAAGAAGAGGTGTGTGGGCTGTCCCTCCTCAGGGCTGGCCCCAAACATGCTGGTGCTTGGGGCAAAGAACAAGATGGTGCCATGTCAACGGCTGACTGGCCTGGCCATGGAATCTTCTTTCAGCACTGGGGACAGGATCAGGTCCACTACTGTACCTGAGGGCCGCAGGCTAGCTTGAGGATGGAGGAAGCCTGAGGCAGCTGCTTCAAGTTGCCTATTGGAAGAGCCAGTCCTATCCCTACTTCCCCCTTTGTTCTTTTGCGGAATGCAGAGGTTAGCACAGGGTCTGCCACCTCCAGCATTAAAGGCTCTCTGGTTCCTGCCCCTTTTACAACAGTAGTGAGACTTAAACAGGTGAGACCATGAACAAGAATGAAAGCCCCTTCTTTTTTGCACAAAGCTGGCACCCGCCACGTGTTTCCTGGGCTCCTCTCTCACCTTGGCACCACACAACCCTCTGGGGCTCCTCCGGTGTTGTCCTCTTACTAAGCTGTCTCCAATCCAGACTCCCAGGAGGACAGATGCTGTCTGTGAGCAAGTAAGACGCTCCTGGGGACCTCTGGCCTTGTGAGAATCATCAGGCAACTGTGTGGAGGAATAAGCCACAACCAGATGTTTTGCACAACAACTCCCATCAGCCCCAGCCAGCAGAGCATAACCCAAACATCTGGAGGGCACCAGGTCACACAAGGCTGAGCTAACTTCTCCCTAACATGATAAACAGGAATGAGAAAAAGCAACTTGGTTTCCTTCCCCACTTCCTCATCCCTCCATTCTCTCCCCCTGCTGTCTGGTTCTGTACCACATGCACCTTCAGGAAGGCAATTTTGCTTTCCTTTTGCGGTTGTCAATGCCCATGTACATTGAGGGCATTGGAATATTATCTTCTTGCACTCACTGTTTAAGGAAGGGGTTGAAGAGAATCCATTATTTAGTCACCTTGGGACATTATGCATATCAGCACATGCAGAGGGATGAGCAGAATCTCACTCATGGGCTCTTGCTGTCCACGTTCAGCTGTGTTTTCTACATGCAAACGGTACATATGCAGGCAGCACCAGGAATCCTCTATGTGCGTACAGGTCTTACATGTGCATTCTTGCCCAAGTTGTGCTGAACACATGTAGGGGGCATGCAAGAAGCTAGCAACTGCAGACAGGAATGTTCTCGCTCTCTCCCACATACACATTGAATGTACACTCGTGTAACGTGTAAGCAAGGCACATTCCGGGATAAATTACTGGGTGCACAGACACATGACTTTCATAAATTTCTGGCATGTCTAGACAGAAATTCTGCTCCTAGGGGAAGGGCCACAGCTCAGTGGTAGAGCATTTGCTAAGTTCAATCCCCGTCATTTCCAGGTAGAGCTGAGAGAGAACCCTGCCTCAAACTCTGGAGAGCCACCGCCAAGGCTGACCCAAGACACTTTGGCACCTGCGATGGGCCTCCAAAATGGTGTCCACCTCTCTGCCAGGGAAGAAGGGGTGAGGGAAAGAAAGATCTACATCGGGATCTGCTGCCCCTGTGGATTCTGCCGCCAGACGCGGTCACCTCACCTTGCCTCATGTGTGGGCCGGCCCTGGCCACTGCCAACCAGTGTAGGCAATACCGAGCAAGATAGGCCAATGGTCTGACTCAATATAAGGCAGCTTCCTATGTCCTTAGAACTTCCCGTCAAAGGAACACACACAGAGAGACACTGGAAGACTGCCTTAAGCTTTGAAACAAGAGCTTACCTGTAATACAAAGAGGTTGGCATCCGCTAGGATCACAAAGTTGGCACTGCCTCTCCAGCTGTCTTTGTTGTTTCAATGCCAGCCCTCCTCTCTTGTGGTCTCGGCAGCTGCTGTCTGTCTGGACGGCCTGTGGACTGACTGCCGCCACGGCAGAGGTGGCAGGGAACAGCCCGCCCCGTGTCCATCAGGCCAAGAAGCTGGGAGATATTGCTGCACCCTGCTTGCTTGCCTTTCTTCTCATCCGTATGCACCATGGAAGGTCCACTTTCCGTGCTGCTGATTGCGAAAGCACCGGACATCTCAGAACAGATCTTGCATTCTGATCCCCCTGGTTCTGCTTTTGTTTGTTTGTTTTTCTAAGGTTTTAAAAACACGTTGCAAAATTTGTAAGTTTCTTGCCTGCACATTAGGGGCTTTTTGTGTGAGAAAGCTGAGGAGGGGCAACTTTCAAATACTTTTTATTGTGAGGATCCTCACAGTCCAAATAATGGCTTGTCGCAGCCAGACCACCAAGGGTCCTCACGGTCCAAATAATGGCTTGTTGCAGCCAGACCACCAATCTGAAGGCACCCACTCTCCCAATATCCAAGTCCAAAGCTCTCACCACTGTTGTACGCTGCCATTTTTTCTACTTTGCACATTTTTATATACTGCAGCTAAGAAAAAAGAGGGGGGGAACCACAGTCAAGTCCAGAGGATGAGAATGTTTTTGTTTTGTTTTGTTTTAAAAGCACTTCTTAAAATCCAGCTACAATACAAAGGCCTAAACATGCATAGCTTAGCAGCAAATGTGGATTTGCAAACAGGTGGCGCTGTGGGTTAAACCACAGAGCCGAGGACTTGCCGATCAGAAGGTCGGCGGTTCGAATCCCCACGACGGGGTGAGCTCCTGTTGCTCGGTCCCTGCTCCTGCCAACCTAGCAGTTCGAAAGCACATCAAAGTGCAAGTAGATAAATAGGTACTGCTCCTGCGGGAAGGTAAATGGTGTTTCCGTGCGCTGCTTTGGTTCTCCAGAAGCGGCTTAGTCATGCTGGCCACATGACCCGGAAGCTGTACACCGCCTCCCTCGGCCAGTAAAGCGAGATGAGCGCCGCAACCCTAGAGTCGGTCACAACTGGACCTAATGGTCAGGGGTCCCTTTACCTTTACCTTACACACAGGACAGGGAACAGGGGGCTAGTCCTGGCTCTCCATGCATGCACATGCATGACACATGCACCCAGAAACACGTGTTAGTGGTTCTAATGACATGCAAGAAGTATTTGATGCATACCTCTACCCTAACCTCCCAACTCAGCTCTCAAAACTGGGGGTGGGGAGGGGAGAACCATAGTGTGTGAAGCTTCCTTTGGAAATATTTGTGGGAATGCCATAGCCCTGGCTCCCAGTAGCACTCACAAGTGTTATGGTATCTTATGTCCTTGGAGCACATGCCTAGTTCCGGATATTCAGAAATGAGCTGCCGCATGCTGCCCACTGGATTCCCAGCTTCTTGTTCTGGAGGGGTAGTTGCCTTAAGTTTGTTACAAAAACCAAAAAACCACCAAGTAGTACAGGTGGATCTGACGGTTTATCGCCCTTTAAAGGTGCCACAAGACTCTTGCTGGCTTTTCCATGAGGATCAGTGACCAGGCCAGCTGGGAAAAGTGGAAGACTTTCTCTTTTCCTAAACTAAGAAGTGACAGACTTTGGTAATATGGCACCCAGAGGGAGGACAAAATTCATCGGCGCTCCCCTCAAAGATTTCTTATTTTTACAATAATTCATTTTGGTACGTTGAGTAGGTACCTGTATAAATATAGGTATTATTAATATTATCATCATCATCATCATCATCATCATCATCATCATCATTTTGCTCCCCCCCCCCAGCTCAGCTCCATGTGCAAGGGAACCACCCACACCACCCTTGTCAAGCCAGAGACAGAACTGTAGCAGTGCCTTACCTTGTAGAATGGAAGAGTGTCTGCTTAATTCTCTTATTAAGTTGAGACCCTTGGCTGCAGAATCAAGAGTGAAAACATGAGAAGGGAAGCGGTTGAAGGCCAAGGAAGAGAGGGGCATTTACAGGGTTTTCAGCTTAGTCAAACAATAACTTCTCTTCCATCCATCCCTCTCCATCTAGAAGGAGATGCAGGGCAGAATGACTCCAGCTGGACCTGCAACACACCCAGAGTCTGAATTGGAGATGCGGGGGTCCTTGCTTCTCTGCCTCACTCTCTCTTTCTTTCTCTCTCTCTCCTCCATGAGCTCATACAATCTCATTTTATGGGAGAGACATCTGTTTCGACTCAAAGGGGAGTGGAAGGGGGGAGCCTTCCACTGCCAACAACAAAACAAACCTCCCATCCCTGAGTCACCCCCTCATTTCAATAAAGAAAGAAAAAATACATTTGCTTCCTTTCCGTCCCCCAGCCCTTCCTAAGCTTCTGCATTCGGAAAAGGGTGCAAAAGCAACACTTATGTTTAAAAGGCAGCTGGGGGAAGAGGGGAAATGCCAGTCTGAGTTGCAGAGGGGGTCTCTTTCATACTTGCATTATTCTACATACGGCAGAATGCTGGGGTGTCACATACACATCATTTCTGGACCACCCCCTCTTTGAATGTTGCCCATCTCGATAAGGTCGTCACAGTTTTCAAAGGTTTAGAGGGGGGAACATAACTGCCCCTACAGCCTCGGGGAGGGAAGGGGTAAGAGAGTTGCCGACAGGACTCACCAGCATAAACAGCCAGTTTCCTTGGGGAGGAATCTGAATCCCCTTTTAGAACCAACACCCCTTGCAGATCATCACATACTGCAAGTATATACTGTAGTATATAGCAGCAGACAGATAAGTAGATGGATCGTGGAAACAAGTGGATGAGAGGGCCTATAACCTAATGGGAAGAGCACACGCTGTGAATTAGCGATGTGGTGAAATCTGCCCTCCAATTTTCTCAGACGCTTTCTTCTCCCGTGAAAGATACTTAATTACATTACTTAATATGTGCAATTGTGATGATTATTAGTAATAGCAATGTTTGTTTCTGAATGCGACATTTGTATTGCATTTCAAATATTGATTCCTTATTGAGGGGATTTGTCAACCCCTTAAGACATTTCTACTGGAATATAAAGCAGTACTGTACATAAATTAACTAAATAAATGAAAGAAGATTCCAGTTTTTATGCCTTCCTCTTTAGCATTTTGGCAGGGGTGGAGATTTGAGCTTACCTTATTGCTGCAAGTTGGCCCAGGGTGCTGTGTGTGCACCTATAACTCTCAGTGTGGCTAAGTTTCATGTTGCTGTAGCAAAACCCACCAGAGACTGACCATACATATTTTGAAATTTTCCTCTTTGGAGTTTGTGACATGATTGTAACTTCCAAAATGTCAATGCCCATCTTATTTTACTTATTTATTTTACTTATATTTTATTTACCTTGTTTTATTTGTTTCTCTTATCTTAGCATGCACATTTGGATACTATGTGCTTCTCATTTAGTTTCTTTAGTGCTGGTCATTGGCCATAACAATAAAGGTTTGGTTGTGTGTCTGTTTTTTGGATGTCTTCTTTAAAGCCCAGGAACTCAGAGCATAGACTACTGGGGAGAAAATTTGTACTATCAAAGAAAGGACATGGGCAAACAACTCTTGGCCACCTGAAAAGTAAGCCAAGTGTAACAACAACAACAAAAAGGCCACACCCCAAACGATGAGGATTTTCAAACACATTTTTTCTCTCCTCAATAATTGTAGAATCGTAATAACAAGAACAAACCCCACAGGATCAATTTATGGCACATTGAATGAATGGGAGTGCAGCTTCCCAATGGACTGTGGCGATCTCTGTTAGTGAGTGGGTGGGTCCTTTCAATTGCTCTGCCTTGAGCACCAAAACATCTTGCACCAGGCCTGTTTTTACTCTCCCTTTACCTATCCCTGACCTGTTAAGAATAAGAAGAGCTCTGCTGGATCAAGTCAATGGCTCGTCTAATCCAGCATCCTGTTCTCATAGCCACTAACTAGAAGCTTATGAGAAGCCCATAAGCAGGACCTGAGCGCAAGAGCACTCTCACTTTGAGCTGCTTACAGCAGCTGGGATTTGAATGCATTACTGCTTCCAGCAGTGGAGGTAGGGTGCAAAGCCAATAGCCCTTTCCTCTTGCTGGTCTAACACATAACTGGGGCCAGTGGTGGCATAGTGGTTAGCATCTGACTACAACCTGGGAGACTAGAGTTCAAAACTACTTGGCCATGAAGGTCACAAGGGTGACCTTAGGCCAGTCACTGCCTCTCAGCCTAACCTGCCTCACAGGGTTGTTGTGGGGATTAAATGACACCATGTACTCCATACTGAGCTCCTTGGAGAAAAAGGTGGGATATAAATGCAATAAATGAACCCTGAGGCACCCCACAAGTGAGAGCCTAGGGGTCTGAACACTCATACCCTAACACCACTTTCTGGACATGGCCCAGGAGGAAGGAGCAGAACTACTGTATAACAGTGCCCCCAGCTCCCTTAGACGGTTCAGAAGGACGTCATGGTCGATGGTATCAAAGGCCGCTGAGAGATCCAGCAGAACTAGGAAACAGCTTTCACTTTTGTGAAAGCCCATTGCCCAGCCCTTCCCAGCTTGCTTTTATGAGCCAGGATGGGCAAGGGTCAAGGAGACAGGTGGTCGATTTCACTCATCCAAGCAGCCTGTCCACATCCTCAGAGGTAACAGATTGGAACTGATCCCATGCAACTTGACTAGACCGGACTCCAGCACTTTCCCGCCCCTGCCTTGCTCCCACAGTATAGTCTACCTCTTTCAATTCTGAGCAACTTTATCTGCAAAAAACTTTGCAAAATCATTGCAAGAAATCTTGGGGTCCTTACCAGGCCCCGATGGTGGTGGTGGTTCCATTAGATTGCGAACCACCTGAAAGTTTCCTACTGCTGTTTTCTGCAGATGCAATAGAGGCGGTGAAGAAGGTCCTCTTCGCCGTCGCTATCGCCACTTGGTAGGCTCGACGTTGAGCTCTAATCAGTGTCTGGTCCGATTCAGAATGAGTTTTCTGCCACCGGTGCTCTAGTCGCCTCAGCAATTGTTTCGTCGCCCTCAGCTCTGGGGAGAGGGTACTTCGAAGCCAGACAGTTGATAGCCCTGGTTAACTCATCATTCCAGCGGGCCACCAGGGAATCAGCTGAAAGGCCAACAACATGGGATAAAACATCCCCTGGCCTACCACTCTCTGGAAGCCATTTGGATCCATTAAGTGGTGGGGGCGGACCATCCGAATCTGTCCCACCTCCCTGCAGAGGGTAAGGGTCGCAGAAAAGTCCAGTTGTACCAGGAAGTAATCCAACAATGGCACTTCTTTTGTTTTGCTTTTACTTAGTGTCAGATCACCCACATCCATAGAGGTGAATACCAGGTCTAGGGCATGCCTGCAATTATGAGTTAGGCCAAAGTTATTCAGGGACAACTCCGTGTAGGCCATGCTTTCCATGAAGTCCCAAGCGGCCCCTTGTAAGGTCGAGTTGGCATGGGTGTTAAAATCCCCAAGGACAACCAAACTAGGTGTCTCCAGGAGAATATCCGCCAGACCTGAAGCAGTTTGGGCAGGGAATCCTTGGTGCAGCAGCGAGGTTGGGACACCAAAAGGAATTCTGTACTGCCCCTATTGCCCAACTTCCAGAAAATGCACTCAGAAAACCAACAGGATACCTGGTGCAAGATAATGACTTCATAAAAATCACTGCAACCCCCCCCCCACATGACCTGGGTTGCTGTGCGTAAGAGAAACCTGGCAGACAAGCAGCGGCAAGAACAGGACCACCTGCTTCATCCAACCAAGTCTCGGTCACACATGCCAGGTCAAGTCCTCCATCCATGATCAAGTCGTGGATGACAGCTGTCTTGTGAATCATTGACCTGGCATTGCACAGCAGCACCTTAAGGTCATGTGGGTCTCCCTTGCTAATTCCAGTATACTTCCGGTCAAGACCAGACCCGGAAGCAGGGATAGTCCTCAAACAATGACTAAACCTGCCTCCTCAGAAATGACATGGTCCTCCTCCTACCTGTGATCACTGAGATGGGGTGTCCCAGTGCATCCCTCCTTGTGGAACCTGCCCCAGTCATTTTGTTGGCTGGGGCCCACTCCCAGGCAGCCCTGACCCTCTCCCCTTAAGAATACAGTGGTGCCTCGCAAGACGAAATTAATTCGTTCCGCGAGTTTTGTCGTCTTGCGATTTTTTTCGTCTTGCAAAGCACGGTGTCGGGAAAGTTTTGGAAAAGCTTCAAAAATCACCAAAGTCTTTAAAAACCTCAAAAAAGGCTACCACACCGCGTTCTATGAGTTGCTCCTCGAAGTCAAGTCGCAACTGTATTAACGGTGTTAAGAAACAGGAAACAAACTTTCCGTCTTGCGAAGCAAGCCCATAGGGAAAATCGTCTTGCGAAGCAAGCCCATAGGGAAAATTCCGTCTTGCGAAGCAAGCCCATAGGGAAAATCGTCTTGCGAAGCAGCTCAAAAAACAAAAAACCCTTTCGTCTAGTGAGTTTTTTGTCTTGCGAGGCATTCGTCTTGCGAGGTACCACTGTAGAACACAAATCATACAACAAACCAATAGAACAGTAGAAACAAACAAACAAAAAACCCAATTAATAATAATTTACAATCATACTAAAATTAAACCAATCCCCACCCCCAGCCAAATGTCCATCCCACCCCCAACAAAATCAAAATTAAAAAAAACATAGATTAAAAGCTATTTAAAACGCCTAAAAACATTAAAATAATTACTTAATAACATTAACACATGGGGACTGTCTCTCACCCTTGCCTCACCCCCAAAGGGCCATCCCCAAGGGATGACCCCCTTTGGTGTCCCCCCACCGGGGTGGCCCCGCCCCCTACGCAGGTAGGCTTTGTAACACTGCCCCAGCAGCTGGACCCAGCCCAGCTGGGGCAGCAGCTGTTCCCACTTTGCCTGCCTGCCCAGGGACCTGGTCCTTGCAGTATTCTCTGCAGTCCTCTTTGCTTCTGTAGCAGCAGCAGTCCTCCAAGTGGGGGAGACAGCAGTCCCCCCCAACAGCCGCAGCAGGAGCAGGGTGGGGAAGATGGCAGTCCCCACTGAGGGACTGCAGAGCCAGGTAGATATTGTCCCAATGTACAGGAAAATAAAACCTTTTTGACTGGCACCAAAAAAGTGTCAGTGCCAGGAGGGCTTTGCTGGGGAGAGCTCTCCATAATCAGAGCCAGTTTCAGATACTCTCTCCCCCTCCCCCGATGTTTGGGGGAGGGTGATGTGTTACCACTACCCATACACTGCTATTGTTTCTTTCTGTGTAACCATAGATGTGATTCTTGAGATGGTTGTCTTATTAGTGTATTAACCAGTGCTATGTTTTTACCACTGTATTTTTATTCTGTTTGCATGATCACCTCCAGGCTGTTGGTATTTTGCAGGAGGGATTCGGGTGCATACCAGAAAATTTAGGTTCGCACAATTAAAGTGAATTGAAGTGCTCTGTTGCCCTGATGTCACACATCCACTTAAAACAAAACAAAACCCAACTAGTATTCGCACTTAAGACTAATGAATAATAAAAGTGCCTGCAGTCCCACCCCCAGCCAGTAGGGACAGTAGTGGGGCAGGAAGTCAAGGCAGTCCAGAGACCTCCATTGCCATGTCTGAATATGGGTACAGTGAAGCCAAAAAGGAGGTTGGGAGTGGAGAGCAGAGAAACCTGGAAGGAGGCTACTCAAGCAGTCTAGCCAAAGCCTTGCTGGACCTCACTGGTGAATGGCAATGACTATCCTTTCTTGGAGTGCATTGTCACAATGACATAAGATCATCCCTGTTGGATCAGGCCCAAGAGGGTCCATCTAGTCCAGTATCCTGTTCTCAAAATGGCCAAACAGATGCCTGAGAAATCTGTAAGCAGGACCCGAGCACAAGAGCCCTCTCCCCCTTGTGGTTTCCAGCAACTGGTATTAGAAGCATTATTGCCTCTGTCTGTGGCATACACAGGAGTATACAGACCCAAGAGTCTGTAGTTCCATTTTGATCCTGGCAAGTATCACAGTGGCGAATCAGAATTGCCATTTTATTTTTTTAAAAAGATGGTTCCATTTAATAACTCAATGCCCTCCAGATGTTTCGGACTCCAATTCCCATCAGCCCATATCAGCGAAGCTGGGCTGTTGCAGTCCAAGGCATCTAGAGGCCACCAGGTCAGCAAAGGCTGCATTAAATCACGACAAGCTGGTTTGGGGCTTGCTGTGTGTGATTCTGATGCAAAAGCTACCCTTGTGAACCCAGTGACGCATGCCTGAGTAACCATCTCTTAAAAGATTTCCCAGTAATTCTTGAGTCTTCACACAAATGCTTCACCACACCACCAGACCCACCCACCCCTCTCCTCTCAACGGCCATGCAAAACTGGAGGTGTACCTTTAACGAAAAATGTGGAATCAAGGTAATCAGGGTTGCTCTGACCCAGGCCAGAAAATGATGTCTGTGTCTTTGTGGGAATATTTTTAAAAGTGCTTCCTTTGAAGCCAATTCTCGGAATGAGGGTCATGCAAAGCAACTCGGACCCTTGTGCACACCACACCCCCACTCAAATGCAACTGACTGAAAGGTTGCTTGTACACAATTCCAAAGATTTCCTGCATCAAAGTTGGGTGGGCAGGTAAAGAGGGAGCTCTGTTTCCATGCCCCCCCCGCCCCGTTGCACATGCCACTCACATTTTCCACTGGGCTCAGGTGGGTCTCTCCAAGCAAACAGGAACCCTGGTCTGGAGGGGGGGGGACGTGCCCTCTAGCCCAGCAAGACGGGACTAGACTCCATTCCGATGGAATGCCAAAGGGCGAGATTTTACCCAGGCTTAGTTAACCCTCGCTACCCCTTCTCCCATCAGGTCCTCATCTGGGGGTTCCTAGTAAAGGAGCCATAGAGGGTTTGTGCCGCCTTCTCGCTTCTGTCGGCCAAATTTCTACATTACAGGAACGCAGGAAGCTGCCTTATGCGGCCAAGCCGGGCCGTTACTCCATTTAGCTCAAGATCGTTGACACTATTGTTAGTGGCTCTCCAAGAATAATAATAATAAAAAAGTATTTATTGTAATTTTTATTTTTATTATTATATTTTGGCCAGCCCTACCTGTCCTTGAGATGTCGGGGTCCGAAGCTGAGACTTTCTGCCTGCAAAGCAGACGCCCGGCTACTGAGCTATGGCCCTTCCCCGCAAAATAAAAAGTAAGCTTCTAGTCCGCATGGCTCTGAGCAACGGGCTGATTTAAACAGGAAGCTCCTTTACACTACGTCACACCGAGGTCAGTGTCATCTGCACTGCTCTCCGGGAGTTTCAAGCGGGGCTTGTTCCCGGCCCTAGCAGGAGATTGAACCTGGCAACTTCGGGCATGCAAAGCCGCTTGCTCTCCATGCACTGAGCAGTGGCCCTCTCCCTATCTCCCTTCCACCTCAGTCTCTTTAACTTCTCTTTGTTTCCTTCGCGATTTCCCCCCCTCTTCCCGCTCCCGTCCTTCCCTCCCGGCAGCGCACTCAGGCCGCCGCCAGAGCGAGAAAAGGGGGTGTGTGCGCCTTCCCCGCCGCGCGGAACTACATCCCCCATCAGCCCCCGGGCCTCCCTCTTCCTGAGTGTCAGTTTCACGCTGCAGCCAGGGAATTTAAAACAAAAGAGACTTCTCTCGCTCTCCCTCCGCCCCTCTCCTGCTGTTGCTGGTGCCGCGATCGACTCGTCCTGCTCCTCGCCGGGACTCAGGCGCTCCCTTCACCGTGCCTTTTGCTGGCTCCTTCGCACGCGCGCGCTCGGGGGTGACTTGGGGGCTTTTCCATCCCGCCGGATTCCCCCTCCCCGCTCCTGCTTTTTTTTTTTTTTTTGCCGTCGCCCCCCCACCCCGACTAGCTCTCTCTTTCTTTCTCTCCATCTCCACACCCACTTCGGCGGCCAGGCGGGGTCTGCGCGACAGCACAGCAAGAGCATTTTAAAAAGAAAAAGGGGAAAGAGAGGGGGATCTTTGTGCGCCCAAGAGCCACACTGGGCAGAAGGGATCAGGTTACAGCAAAGGAACCGAGAGAGAGAGAGAGAATCGGCAAGAAAGAAAAAGAGAGGGGTCGGGGTGAAGGGGAGGGGGGAGGGAGAAAGGGGGCTTGGCCAGCAGGGAAAAGAGGGGAGGTGGGCGGGGGTCTCTCCCTCTTTCTCTCGCCTCCCCCCTACCTCTTTGTGCCTCTCCCCCCTCCTCTCTAGCAGGCTCTTTGTTTCCCCCTCCTCCTCCTCTCCCACCCACCCGCCCCCTCCCCATCCAAGCGGCAGCAGCAGCAAAGGCAGCAGCAGCAGCGAGCCCCATCCTCATCATCACCATCCCGCCGCCGCCGCCGCGCCCCCCCACCCCCCTCTCTCCCCAGCCTTTGTTAGCCATGCCTAGCCTGGTAGTGTCAGGGATAATGGAAAGGAACGGGGGCTTCGGGGATCTGGGCTGCTTCCCAGGGAGCAGCAAGGACAGGGCGCTGCTGGAGGATGACCGGGCGCTGCAGCTGGCTCTGGACCAGCTCTGCCTACTGGGCTTGGGGGAGCCTTCGGCCGCCGCCGCGCCCTCCGCCTCGGCCCTGGGGGTCGGTGGCGGGGCGGTGGAGGACGGTAGCAGCAACCAGCCGGCGCAGCCCCCGGCGCCGCCCCCGCCGCAGCAGCCCCAGCCGCCTCAAGCGCCCCTGCCACAGCCGCCGCCACCGCCGCCGCTTCCTCCTCCGCCAGCTTCAGCAGCGCAGCAGCAGCAGCCCCCGTCGCAGGCGGCTCCCAAAGGCTCCTCGGCGGCGGCGGTGGCCGTGATCCCACCTCCGCCGCCGCCGCCACCCGCGCCTCCGACCGGCGCCGCCGAGGCCGGCAAGCTCTGCGTCCTGTACAAAGAAGCCGAGCTGCGCCTCAAGAGCAGCTCCAACACCACCGAGTGTGTCCCGGTGCCCAGCTCCGAGCACGTGGCCGAGATCGTGGGCAGGCAAGGTGAGCGCTCCGCGCGCGAGAGAGGCTCGCCGGACGGGACTGCAGTGGGGAGGGGGCCGCGCTCCTCCGCGTTGCCCATTGTCTGCGCAACCCCAGCCCGCCCGCCCGCCAGCAGCGCGCCCACACCGCCTCCAGGCTGGCTAGCTGGCTGGGCAGGCGTTGCGCCGGACGGGGGTCCTTCTTTCTTCTTGCGCACCCCCTCCGCTTTCTCCCTCTTTTTCTGTTCTCCAGTCTTTGTCAAGTGCCACTCCCCCCTCCGCTCTTCTTCCTCCCAGTTCTCACTTTCTCTCTCTCTCTTTCCCCACCGGTTCCCCCCTCTTTATCTTTCTTCCTCGTTCCATCTTTCCTTCCATCTTTCTTTCTTCTTTCTTCCTCCCGCCCCTCCTTTGTCCCGAGTCCCACCGTTCTCCCCCTCCACTGATGTTCGCCTCCTCGCCCTCCCTCCCTCCTTCCTTTCTTTGTGCCTCCAGTAAGTCTTTTCCTCCTGCTGCTGTTGCTACCGTCGCTGCACTTGTTTTTCTGGCCTCTTCGCTCCCCCCCCCGCCACGTCTTTCCCAGTTTTGTCTGAGAACCTTCATCCCAGCACCCCACTTCTGTCCTGTCTCCCACACCCCACCTCACGTCTTTCCTGCGCTGGTGATGTTGCCCTTCTCGTCCCTCTTTCGTTTTCTGCTCCTTTCTTTTATCCGGCCTTTCCAGCTCTCTCCCTGCTGCACCCCCTTCTACCCCGTCGCTCCTGTTTCTTTCAGACTTTCCTTTATCCCTCTTCTTTTCCTCCACCCGCCATCTCTTTCTCTCTTCTCTCCCCCCCCCCCTTCTCAAAAAAGTTCAACTTGCCCTTTTCTCTAGCCTCGCAAAAAAACCACTACTCTTGTTCCCACTGAGACACTTAATGTTGACCTGCCTTAGAAGAGGGGGATATCAGTGGATGCAAAGTTAAATAGTGTTTCACACACCACACCCCCACGCCCACTTCGAATCTGCCTTTGCTTTGTATAAATCATTTCCAGGGCCACTTGCTAGATTTTCTCATCTCACACTTAAGATGAATAATGGCCACTGCAGGGGGTGGAAATGGGGGTGGGGTCCTTCTCCATTAGGCATGGGGGGAAAGGCAATGGATGTCTTTTGAGAAAGGGTCACAAATCCATACATTTTACTAGCAGCACAGTGCACTGTAGAAATAAAAAGCACTGGGGATTCTATCGCTCTAAGCTAGATAATAAATAAAATGCATTAAATTTATAGGAGGGGAAAATGGCAGAAAGTTCCCCTCTCTCTGTGTGCTTTCTGTCTTGTCTTGTCTCTCGCTCTGTTTTTCAAAAATGGAAATGCAAAATCTGAAGTGCCCCCAAGACACTGTGAAAACACGCCTGTTACTTTTAATTGCATCCAGATCTATATTGTATCTCTCTGGTCTTACAAATATTACAGTTTCCGTCTTGAAGATTTGGTGCACTTGCCATTTTCAATGGGCTGGTGCTAGGGACTCGGTGGGGAAGGCTGAGAAAATCCCCCCTTTTGTTGAGTGCATTTCTGGAAGCAAAAGGGGGTGTGGTTCTCTTCTGGACTGTAATAGTGGCTGGTGCGCAGGGCTGTGTGTGTGTGTGCAGAAAGGAGGCGAATGCTTGGAGCCTAATAAAGGATTGAAAAACAGATTAATAAAAGTTGAACTTGTTATAGAAATATGTGGCCTGTGTTTGTGTGCGTGCTTGTGTAGAGACGACAGTTTATGTTTTAGAAGCCCTCCTTTTGTCTTCATTTATGAACACTTTTCTATCCTGTGGCTTTTTTTAAGTGGTGCTCTGGCTACATGATAGACAACAGCTGAGAGCCCTAAAAAAAAAAAAATTACACCCCATGTGTGTGTTATGTCCTATCCATACCCCAGGAGGAAGATGGCCAGTAAATTGTCTACCGCCCCCCCATCTTCGTCAACACAAAGGTGCCAGAGTCTGCTAAAGTTGCCTTGTTTCAGAAGGAGGGGGGGGTCTCCACATTGAGTTGTTGTTGTTAATACTCATGTGTGTGTGTTGTCAGCCCTGGAGATGTGGTTGCAACTCCCAGTTGTATGTACCACAATAAGTGGGGAAGTTTTATAGGGCCTCGGGAGGGAAGAAAGGAAATGGGGTTTCAGTTGTGAATTGTGTGGCAGAGGGGGGCAGGATTATGGGGCAGAGGAGTGAAAGGATGATTCACCGCAAAAACCAGAGCCATGTTATTAGAACAATGGAGCTAGCAATGGCAGGTCTTCCTCCTACAAACAAAACAAACTGTTAGAGACTTTGGGGCTCAGCAGCTGGGCCCCTGCAGCATAGAGATGAGCCTTCACCCCCATATCCATGGGAGCAACACCTTTCTGAGACTGTGTATCGGCACTGTCCTGGTTGTAAAGCCACTATCTCCAACCTTCCCCAGGGAATAAAGCAAACCAAACCTTTCCTCCATTCCCAAAGTCAGTTAGAGTTCATTCAAAACCTCTGCAAAGAAAAATGGGGGGGGGAGAGCAAGGTCGCATGGAGCAACACATGAAAGGGTGGGTGGGTGGGTGTGCACCCACCGAAGGTGCCCACCTCTTCCTCATCTTGTTCATTGTCCACATCGACACACTACCACAAGTCCTGTTTTGCCCAGGTGCTCAACACTAGTGGCGCAGGCGAAGAACTGTTGTGAGGTGCATTGCAGCGAAAGATAGGCCTCTCTTTGTTTAATTATGCTGGGTTCTTAGAGGGGGTGTGTGGAAAGGTGTGTGTGTGTGTTGTTTTTAAAATAAAATTGCCTTTTAAGCCAAATCCAAAATGGAAGGGTTGCATAGCTGCAAAATAAGATGCTGCTGTTGTGTTCTCTGGGGTAACCCTGCTGACCCACACTCAGCAGGCGAAGGGGGTGTGTGCATGGCATACGGCAGTGCGCTTAGAGAAGGGCTGGCGGAAACTAATGGTTTTTCCTCAAGAGGAGAAGTGGGCTTCCTCCCACAGTTTTAGAACCGTAATAAACAGGTATGAGACAGCTCCTCAGTTCACGTGCACCAGCACTGCTCAAAATCTTTTTGTTTCTTTTATTTCCCATGGAGTGGGACTACTTTTGCACTGCCCCAAACCTGAAACTCAAAAGCAGATAAACTAACAAGGCCTGGGATGGAAGTCGCGGTGTCTGCATCGCTCAGGAAAGGCTAGGTTCCTGAAGGCTGGCTCTGAAAAGGGCTCCACCACATCCCCCTTCACCTCAACAAAGAAAGGGTTCTCAGCCCCATTGTTCTTCATGGGGCCTGCTATTGGGTATCTTTGGAAAATCTAACCAATCCATTTTGCCAAAGGCAGACACCATGGCTTCCTAAGCACACTGCTCTATACCGTGCCAATAACACACACACACCCTCCGCCTATCGAGTGTGGGTCAACAGGGTTACCCCAGAGAGCACAATAGCAGCATCTTGTTTTGCTACCACGAAACCCTTCCATTTTCGATTTTGCCACAGAACAGAGGATTACTAGAATATCTACTGGCTTGAAGTCTTCGAGTGAGTGAGTGAGAAAACTAAATTTAGGCATGGCTAGTTGAAGCAGAAGATGGGGGCTATTAAAAAAAACCTACAGGGGTATAAAAATGCAAATATTCATCTTGCTCAAAATAAATGTTTGGCCTTCATTAATCTACTCCCAGGTTAAATACAATCATGGTTTTCCTTTGCTTAAGTAGCTTTCTTCATCAATCAAAGCATAGATTGTTAAAATATCCAGTGTTGGGATGGCTTACCATACATGTTAAAGGGGGCCATTCAGTGACATTGCTAAATAGCATTTTTAATTAGCAGCATAAATACCCACTGATTTGCCTCCCTGTTGCCCTTGAAAGTACATTGACAATGGGGTTGATTTCCATTCCCACATCCTGGGCTTCAGGAATAAAGTCCAGTAGTCCTCCATCCCTAAATGTAAAAATGAAAATCAGGTGTAGCTATTTTGATGAGCAAAAACTGTGACCCCCCCATCTAGGTTTTTGGGAGAGGTACCCAAGCATGGATCTGTTTTGTGCAAAAGGCACCATGAGAGGCAAAGTTCTGCTTGGAGCATATGCACGCTCCATGGAAACTGTGTTTTTAAAAGAGCTGCTTGTATGCTCTCGACTTAATCATGGAGCAAAACAACGCGGCCCTTCAAGTTACGGGATTTATAAAGGATGCAAGATAAGTTCATATTCTGAGTGCAGGCATCTGCCAAGGGCACTTTATTTAATTATTAATTCTTTAATTATCCATCCTGATCTCCACCCTGCTCCAGCTCAGCAGCTCCTGGGCAGGGAAATAGTACATAAGGAAAAACAAGGTGTTAAAGATATACAAATGCACAAAAAGCAAATGTTTGTGGAAACAGGTTCAATTTACCAAATACCTAGTTAACAGCCATTGAGGAGTTTCAAGCCTTTGGGGGAAAATACATTTTATAGACATTTTATAGAAAAACAGTTCCATTGCTGTGAGGCAACCCTCCACGTAGCCTTTCTGCATGGACTTGGTGCATAGACAGTGGGTGCTCTGGGTTGGTCTTAAAACTGGTGATGGAACATGAGGCTGAATGTGTTATCTTATGGGCTGAGCTAAACGTTAGGAGAATCATGCAGTGCAACCCTCTGTCCCTTCAGAATGAAGGTTGTGTGAATCTTGAGCATGATAACATGTAAAACCCCTCCCTGTGGAAATCTAGTATGTAAAGGAGAAGGGTTCTGTCCTTGCCTTCTTGCTGGCATGCTATGGGTTGTAGTCAACTAAGTCCTACTCAGTAGACCCACTAAAATTAATGATCCTAAGTTAGTCATGTCTAGTAACATAAACATGGCTACTCTGAGTAGAACTAGCGTTGAATACAACTCTTTGTCTTTGCATTGCATCCATCTAGTGAGCATTTTGAAGCAGTATAGCTCTTTATCTGATCACATAGAGCATCTTGGATATTCAGGTGCGTCAAGAACAGCCAAAGAAGAACCTCACTATTTTTTTAAGA